GCCTTGACGGAATTACTGCCACCGAACTGTTTGTATTTTAACGCCCCACGGCCATTAGGCCGGTGCGGTGGTGGATTATTAACAATATTCAAATCAACTTTTGATTGTAAACAACTGCCCATCCCAGTTTCCCGCGCCAGCTTTGAGCTGAGCATCTTTGATCTCGGACATTCACCTCCGACGTTATTTGCACTCGTCTACCGCCCACCTCGATCTAAGGACTTCATAAATGAGTTTTCTGACTTCTTGGCTGAAATCACACCGAAATATGAGCATGTTTTCATTATTGGGGACTTTAATTTGCACGTGTGCTGTCCTGAGAAGCCCTTGGTTAAGGACTTTTTAGATTTATTGGACTCATTTAATTTAACTCATCATGTAAACGGTCCCACCCAAGAGTGTGGACATACACTGGACCTTGTTTTAACTCATTATGTGACTGTTAATAATCTTGTTATTGGTGATCATGTTTTTTTAGACCACATGCCAGTCCGGTTTGAGTTCACCCTCCCCCATCTAACTCCTAAGCCGTGCATTCTTGACATAGGACCCGGACCATTAACCACTTCACTGCCGCACGTTTCACAGATGTTTATAACTCTGAAATGATAATTTAGGCCCCAGTGTTTCTCATCACCACTGAGGAGCTGACATCCCAGTTCAACTCTGTCTGCTTAAAGACTCTGGATCATGTTGCGCCTGTTAAAACTAGAAAATCAAAACTGAGAGCAGAACCTTGGCTGAGTGACGTCACCAAGGCCGTTAGGCAGCAATTTAGGAGGGCGGAACAAAAGTGGAGGAAAGACAGGCTGCAGGTCTCTTTTCAAATACTTAGAGAGTTGGCGCCGTTATCAGAAAGCAGTGAAAGCTGCTAAATCCAAATACTTCTCTGATATAATTACCTCAAACTCTCACAACCCACGTGTCCTCTTCTCCACCCTAAACTCTGTTCTCCACCTCACTGAACCATCACCTCTGGAAGCCTCGACTGAGCTGTGCAACAACTTCTTACATTTCTTTTGGAAAAAATTGCGACCACTCGGGCTCTCATTTCCCCTCCAACTCATGACCCATCCATCCCACCTCAATCTGTAGCTCCTTTTGACCATTTTGAACCCATCAATCTATCTTCTCTAGAGCAGGTCATGTGCAGCTTGAAACCTTCTGGCTCCCCCTTTGATGTGATCCCCCCTCACCTACTTAAGGAGGTGTTTCCAACTCTAGGTCCATCCATTCTTGATATAGTAAACAGTAGTTTATCCACTGGTGTGGTGCCAAAATCCTTTAAACATGCTGCTGTCCAGCCTCTCATGGAAAAAAACAAACCTTGACCCCCTCAGTCGTTTCCAACTACCGGCCTGTCTCCAAACTCCCATTTGTTTCTAAAGTACTGGAGAAAATAGTCGAGTCCCAGTTGAAGTGCTTCCTGGAGGATCACGCCATCTTAGAACTTTTCCAATCTGGCTTTAAACCTCTCCACAGCACTGAAACTTCCCTGCTGAAGGTCTTGAACGACATCTTCAGATTCACAGATACCGGTGATTCTGTGCTGCTTGTCCTGTTGGACCTCACAGCCGCCTTTGACACCATCGACCATGAGATCCTCATTGCTAGGTTAGAGCAGTGGGTGGGCGTCACAGGATCAGCCCTCAATTGGTTCAGATCTTACCTCGCTGACAGATCCTTTTGTGTCTCCATCAAGGATTTTAGTTCCGCAGAGGCAGAGCTTAAATGGGGGGTTCCGCAGGGGTCCATCCTGGGTCCCCTCCTATTTTCTTTATACCTGCTGCCGCTTGGTGCTATTTTCCGGAAACACAACATGCCCTTCCACTTCTATGCCGATGACTGTCAAATTTACTTTCCCCTAAGACACAATGGTACATGCTCTATTCAACCGCTGCTCAACTGCCTGGCTGACATCAGGGACTGGATGGCTTTAAATTTCTTGAGTTTCAATGAAAATAAGTCTGAAGTCATGTTGTTCCCTCCCAACAACACGATCACAAACCACTGTATCAACCTCTCCACTCTAACCCTGTCAGAAAAACAAAGAGTCCCTAATCTGGGCGTGATAATGGACCCTTCCCTGAAGCTTAACAATCATGTAAACATGATTGTAAAATCATGCTTCTTCCAACTGAGGCGGCTGTCTAAACTGAAGCCCATATTGTCCAAAAATAACCTGGAGACAGTAATACATGCATTCATTACATCTAGGCTTGATTACTGCAATTCGCTCCTGTTTGGTATCAGTCAGACCTCCATTGCACGACTACAACTGGTCCAGAATGCAGCAGCCCGATTTTTAACCAGTACAGGCAAAAGAGAGCACATTACACCAGTTTTGGCCTCACTGCACTGGTTACCGGTTCACTTTCAAATCCAGTTCAAAATACTCATGTATGTCTACAAATCACTGAACAGTGTCCCCCCCCCCCCCCCCATCTCTCTGATCTGCTACAACCGTATGTCCCACCACGCTCCGAGGTCAGCGGACCAGTTGCTCCTCACAGTTCCAGAAACTCGTCTTAAGTGCAGAGGTGACAAGGCCTTCTCTGTAGCAGGACCAAGACTCTGGAACGAGTTACCTCTGTTTGTCAGACAGGCCCCCTCCCTCTCGGTTTTCAAGTCCCGTTTAAAAACTCACTACTATTCAGTAGCTTTCAACACCAGATGATCTGTGTTTTGAACCTGTATGCTCCACACTGGTTTGTCGTCGTTATCTGCATCGTTTTTATGTCTATATTCTGATTTACCTCATTTTGTATTTTGCTTGGTGTGTTACCTGTTGTTTTGTCTGTACAGCACTTTGGTTGGCCTTGTAGCTGTTTTAAGTGTTTTATAAATAAAGTGGTATGGTATGGTATGATGGCGGGATGACCGGGATCGGCACCTGCAACTGGCTGTCCACGATGAGTAGCTCGGCGGGGCTGCTGGGAAGCGTGGCCATCGCTCAGGGAGTTCTGCCCAGCATTCAGGTGGTCCTGCTGCCCAGGAAACCCGCCTGGCCCAAGTGAACGGATCCATATCTGCATCAGATTTCTTCAGAGCCACTGTGGGACGAACTACAGAAAATCCTTCCTGCCCACAGCCATCAGCATGTATTACAACCCTTTAATGAAACCAGAATAATGAGTTACAACAGCACCTCCTATAAAAGTTGGAACAGGACCAGGAAACGGGTCTGAGAGGGCTACCCAGATGTCCTCTTCCTCAGAAATACTCGGTCTCCTCCTGGAAAGAAACCTTTTATCCACTGACCAGAGAGGATAAGCAATCCTTTCATTTAGTTCTGGTCTGCTCCGGGGTCTCTTCTAGTGGACTTGCCTGTAAAACCTCCATATAGATGCGTCCCATGAAGCATCCTTATAAGATACCATACCATACCATTTTATTTATAGAGCATTTAAAACAGCGACAAGGCCAACCAAAGTGCTGTACAGACAGAACAACAGGCAACACACAAAGCAATATACAAAATGAAGTAAATCAGAATATAGACATAAAAACGATGCAGATAATAAATATGACGCCTAACCAGTGTGAAGCATACAGGTTCAAGATGATGTTCAAACCACCTCAACTGACAAAATGACAAAAGCCACACTGCTCTCCCTGTATCCAAGCTTCCAACACTCTGGAGGAAACTTTTGTAGATGAACATATTCTGTGGTGTATTCATAAATTAAACGGATTCATTCATTTTTCTGGACTGAATAATGTCGTGCATTTAATTATTAAAAATGTAACATGAGACGTTAATTTTCTTTGACCCATCAAAATGAACGTGGTCATTTATTTTCAGAATCAAAATTTAACATCACACATTTACATTAATTTGGCAAAATTGAAAATAACAACAGGTTAATTAATCAGTTTACAATTAGAAGACCATACGGCGATGGTTGAAAACCTTGCTTCACAACAGACATTTCTGAAAATATCTGGAATGATTTCTAGCAAAAAGAAGAGTTTAAAGATGGAAAATGAAGTTTATCTTGAGAGAGATGGGTGAGGGAATTTGTCTGTTATAACCAGAACAACACGCTCCTTCTGGGCCCAGCTTAACCAACGGTACACTTTGCGGTTGAAGATCGACTCTTTACCTTGGCAGAGATAATTCCGACTTCGGTGTAGAGTTGCCTTCAAACGCTATCCAGCGTCTCCGTAAGGATAGTAGGGAACCGTTCGGAGTCGTGAGATCATCCAGAACAGA